TATTCTACTCCTTTCTGTATGAGTTCAAAAAATGAAAAAGGGGATGAGATGTTACGATTGAACATCTGGAACGTAGAGTTCCATACAGGATGGGATGGATGGCTATGGAATTCCTTGGGGATTCTGATGGTTCGTTCGTTGCTTGCTTTCTCCTGATGGTATTGACCATACTCCAATTCGTATGGTCAGCTATTTAATATGTATCACCAGGTAATATAAAACATACAACATATAGCCATAGATTGAGGATTATGAAGTTATATCTACATATCTACAGGTTGTTGTCAGAATTGTTTCTATGATGTGATGGTTCCTACAATGCTATGAGAGCAGGAGTAGCTAGACCCAGTTAAGGTTAGTGCTAGGAGAGATCTGACACACCATGGCTTGTTTACTTCACCGATTCCTCCTTTTCGGATCGTTGTACAGTCTGAATGCCTTCATTTTATAGTCCTTATACTTCCCGTCTTTCCTGTGAGAAGTTATAGAGTTATACTTTGATAGAAATATTTCCATATCAACAAAGATCATGATTGGCTTTTCTGAAAATTGTGGGAACAGCTTGAAAGATCAGGCACGGCCCGTAAGCCCAATTTTATTCCACGGTATCCAATGATATGAATTTCTTCTACGTTTCTCTCTCGCGTTCGTTTACTAGCTACTTCAGAAATAGTCAGCGGCATATTATCAACTGCAAAGTCCACTACATTTCGGACGAATAGGATAGAAGAAGCGAAAGTAATCTGCTTTCAGCTCGCTTATGTGTTCAAATGCCTATTTTTGCTATCTCATCGTTCCATTGTGGTACGTGCAGTATCGACCTTTTAGTCTTTTTAGATCTAGATTGCTCACAAGTAATCTAACACACTTACCTAACCCTGCGCGTGGGAAAGCTCTTCAATTGCGTTGATACCAAGGGTAGTTAAGCTTCACGCTACAGTAGTCTGTTTAAGCTCAAATAGATCTAGAGACATGAATCTGTTTTGCTTGAAGATCTTAGATCAGGGGTTCAATTTCTCCATACCCACTTTCTGACTCTTTCTCCAATGAAGCAAAACTTTGACCATGGTGTATAGATCTGGGAAACCCTACCAGTACCTTATTCCTATCAAGGTCATCTAAAAATGTGCAGCCGCAGAAGCCTCCTTCTCTCCATTCATCTGGATAAGAAAACCTACGCGCTGCTGATTAAGGCCTAGCGCCACGGCTCAGAACTCCACAGTTCAAGCTATTGATATTGACAGCAGCATTGAGCCTTCGATACTGTTTCTCTGCGGTTCAAACTTGATGAGAAGCTCTCTTTGGGTGCATCATCCCCGGACATATCCGAATGCAGAAGTTCTTCTGGTATGTCCCAACACGGAGGTAGACCTTCGAAAAGTACTTATTTCAGTGGTTCCCCATCTTCCCAAGGGTTTTTTGAATCGATATCATAGACTCTTGAACCCTTCTTTTATTTCTCAGAGTCAAGCACAATAATCTTAATAATGGTTTCCACGCTCCTTCCATTGGTTGTCCTTGCGACTCCAGCCGTTTCTACCATTTTGTCAAATGGTACATACCCAGCTTCAGCACTTGTCGATCAATTGTCATGTACCACCTCATTTGCTTCAATAGCACCATACAGTGTTCTTACATCTTCCAAGACAGAGACTTCAACCCAGATTGATACAAGTATAGTCACTTATACTCCCTCCCTTTCCTTGACCCTTCAAGCAAGTACTCTCACTGTGGGAGAATTCGCCACCACCACCGAAACAACTATTGTTCCTCAAGTTACCGATACGTTTTACAGTACATCAACTTGTCTCGCTACAACCTCTATCACTAGTGCTATTGTTGAGACCGAGACCGAGACTGCTACAACCACAATCAGTGCAAGTCCAGAAACTGTTCACATCGCAGCTCCATATGGCTTTACACCAATCGCCTCGGCTATTCCTGGTGTAGCCAAGCGTAGTGAATGCGGACCGGCCCAGACTTCCCAGGCACCACTCACCGTCACAATCACAGTAACATCTACCCTTGTTTATTCAAACGATGTATACTATACTGTCACGAAGTCAGGCGAGTGGAATCATCAACGACCAAACACCTTGCAGTCTCTCACAAGAACTACCACCGACTCTCAATCTGCTCCAGAAGCTGAGCAGCAAAGTACAGGAGTGCCTGGATTAGCTCCATCTGAATCTTGGTCTAGATACCATTACTACAACACCACATCTCGCTACATTGCTGCCTCTGGATATGCACCATCTGTCAGTAAACCTGTGGACACCGCTACCAGTAGCGACATCAAACCATTAGAAGACCCAAGTGCTTCTATGTACGCACCAACTGGCGTCATCCCATCCAGTAGAGTTAGCTTCACCCACGTTATCAGTGCAGACCCAAGTCCTTCCATGTACGTACCAACTGGTGTCATTCCTTCCAACGGAGCCAGCTTCACCCCCGTAAGCGAAAACTCAACCATCAGCTCTGCCTCCGTGCCTGGCTTTGTTCATAGCACATCTTACCCAGCAGCGGTCGAATGTACATCCACCTTGAACATTGAATCTATCACCACAATCACCGAAACTGCAGCAATGGTTACCAATCTTGCAACCCCCTATGTCACAGAGACTTCAACCTCTACTATAACAACAACAACAAGTGTTATGGAAGAAGATTGTTCCACCACCCTTGTAGCTACCGAATATTCAACCATCTCAAGCATTGTCTTGGCCACTTCTACAACAACTCTCACAGCCACTCAAACCGTCAGTGAAGTTTCTGGCGCAACCCCCACCAGCTACGCCGCTTGCGCCGCTAACAACTTGATCTCTTCCGTCAACGGAGCACCCGTCACACAAGTTCAATTCCTCACGAGTGTCCTCTCCGCGTCGACAGCAAACTCTGCTTATGATTGTTGTGTAGCGTGTCAGACCGCTGCCGGCGGCTGCGGTGGTTCCGTCTATTTGAAAAGCGGCGCTTGTTATTTGGCCGCACCAGGAGCGACGTGTGGCATCAACAGTATTGTGACGAACAAATTCTATACTTCGTCGTCGGCAAGCAGTGCCAATGCCTTCACTATCTCGAATGGAATGTGTGGACAAATGAGCTATAGTGCAGCATATTAAGGGGAAGAGGCATTTTTAGATATGTAATTGAAATTGATAAATTTTAGAATAATGAATTAAACATACAAAAAAACTAAAAACTAAACATTAATGAGCTTAGGGTTTTGCAAGATGTGGTGATGGATATTTGGTCTATCCATATACACGCTATATAGTTTTGACGTGAAAGTTTTGTTGTTCAATAGTTTTATGGAAAATGATGAGATAAGTGTCTACCTCAGCCCTAAATTATATCTCCATTGGAAGTTTCATTGGAACCTATAAAGCTTTGGTGTGGCCATCCCTCGAAGACAAAAATTCAAATACGCGAGTTTGAGCTTCAGTGAATCCAGTATAAGCGATTCGGACCGAAAGAAATTCTGAACACTTTCCTGCTACACTAAACAAACTCCCAATTTCGATCAATTAAAAAATGTATTTGCATATCCAATCTTTCTACTTGATTCCCTCTCCCTTTCTCGTACTTCATAACTTTGAGGGTCGTAAGTAGATTATATTCCTTGTTTGTCAAGAGTGCGTTTTAGGAACACCTCACACATTAACATATTGATAATTATATTTTAAATTGAAAACGGTTCTGCCACATACGACCATAGACTGAAGAGAATTGGGCATCCCGTCCGCTCTGCCATACACAAGCTTCAGATCGGTGGATTAGTAGTTGGGTGGGTGACCACCAGCGAATCCCCACTGTTGTATGTTTTTTTTTTCTCTTTTGCCTCTTGGATCTTCTATATATGGGTGGGGCGGAAAGGATGTTGGTGGTTGATTTGGATGCCGGGGAGACTTCGTCGTGAGATGTTTCTTTTGCTGTGATGAAGAGGGAGAAGGTTCGATCTTATGAAGGTCGAGAGTCTTCCTGGGATTTATCGGTCTCACGAAGAATGGAAAGTTGTGCTTTCCCTTGAATTGTCAAAGATATCTAGTGGAAAAAGCAGATTACAGTATGACTTGATAATTTCGATGTATACGATACGCAAACAATCGAATGATGCGAATAGTTATCTACCTGCTCTGGTGGTTTCCGGACGCTCAAGTTTTAGACATTTAAATCGCCTATAGTCTGTGTCTGCTGGGTGCAAGAGATGTGAATAGGAAGTGAGGTGATGGATTGGAGATGATACGAGTAAGTTACAAAGCTAACCTCTTTCTTTCTGCTTCTACTTCTACTTCTACTCTACTTCTCTTATCATTGATAAAGCTTTTGGACTTTGTAACTTTGAGAATTACATATCCGGGGAGGGGAGCTTCAAATCTTCGCGCGTAGGGGCTGATTTTGTTGACAGCCCTTACTTATTACTATACAATTTTATCCATTAATCTACTGCCTAGGTAGGTAAGGATAGATTGAGAAAAGCAAGGGTTATATTAGGATCACGGGAAATAGTGAGCTAGTGAAGCAGAGTGGTTTCGTCGTTGGCTCACTGGATTATTCATCAATGCTTGACATCTCTATTGAATTGACTTATTCTATTATCAATCAAAGGTTGTCCACAATTCAACAGCGGTCTAATTGGAATCTGATTTACTGTACCCCTGCCTAGCGTATTCTGGCACAGCGACAGCTGCAGCCCTACAAATGGCTCGAGCGTTTTTTGGGAAAATCTGGGGTCAATGCCTTTGATCCCGTTCCCAAATTCATTATTTAAGGGCTGTTCATTTCATCCTCCAACAAACATCATATCTACCGTCATCATAACAAATATACCGAACTACCTCAAGTGATATACCATTCTTCCAGGTTATACATTTGCAACTCGTCGATATTGGCATCATCTCTCCGCCAAGTATTTACACCTGATCAAGATGTTTCGGCGAACACTCTTGAGATCTGGATCATCCATCATCTGGAGACCACATCGCATCAATTTTCATAGAAACATGCAGAGTCTATCTGGTTTACAGCAGGTTCGTACTTCTATGTCATCGTTTTTGCAGTTTCACATTACATTATACTAACAATGATTTAGCAGGGAAAAGCAGCTGATGGATCGCCCAATCACTCGGGAGGCCAGGCTTCCACTTCTTCTAAAGATAAGACGCAAGATCAAACGGAAAGTCTTCTTTCGAATCAGCCAAAGGGGAATATACTCACGAATCATGGTTATTCCCACAATATAAACATCATCACGGTCAAAGAGATGCTAAGCAAGAGGGAGTCAAGACTACAGATATTGGAATGCGATTCGCCATTTTTGAAAAAGGAACTGGACGATATTAAGTTAAGCCAACATAAATTGAAAGACGATATCAAAAAGTTACAAAAATATAGGGACCGAGAATATGCTGGAGGGGTGGTCAGCATAAGGAATCGACTAGCCCAGATTTTTCTCAGCTCAACGCAAAATGCACAACGTAAACAGCAAATAGCTAATCCAATCGATGTACGAGTCAATGTATACGATCAAGATAAATTAGCATACGATGTCAATTTGTCAACAACAATAAATCAAGCTGATATGCACCCTGACTACTTTGATATCTGTTTAGAGACGGTTTTCGGAGCACCAAAGGATCTCATCAATGATTTACTTGAATGGGATGAGACTCGTGAATATCAAGTTTACAGAATCCTCGGTGACCATGGAGAAGCTTGGCACAAGGGCTTTGCTAATACCTGTCCAAAGTCTTTCAAAACATGGCTGTCATCAATAGTTTGTCTTCAAAAATACGAATCAGCCATATCCCATGATACATTTCCCGATCTCGAAATCCTTATTCAGAATCAAAAGTAACAGGTCAAGAAATCAATTCAAGAATGGAATTCAAGTTATGCAACGGACAGGTCAAATTTCAGAAAGAAACGAAAGGAATGTCGAAAGATAATTGAGGAAGATTACAGGGACAGAGGACTGATTACATTTATCAGGGAGAATTGATTCCATGGGGTAAAGTTGGATCAATAGAAAAGTGATAAGAGGACGGAGACCAAGAAGGGAGGGGGGAGATTGGAGATGCTTTTCATTACAAATTTGAAATTGAGGGATCAGCGACTAGAAACTTGGTCATAGAATCAGGCAAGTGTAGGCCATGAGTATTGGGAGTTATTCGCAAGTTTATCTACTTGATATGAAATACAAGACACATCTCGCATCTCACATCAGGCCGAGGGAAACTCCAGCAATTTCAGATCTGGTGTGGGTGATTCATATATAGTCTTACGCAAATTTGTGGAATGACTCTTGAGAATCCATGTCGTGCATATTGGCTTCAAATTTTTTAAATACATGTGATATCGAGATATCATTGAATTATTGTAGCAAGTTAGGCTTCAGTGGAGAGGGACGATTCACTGCTAGATGAGTCCAAACCATGAATTACAGAATTTAACGAACCAAGCAATGACGTTTGAGGATGTGGGCATTAGGTGGAGTACCATGAGAATGTCGTTAGAACGAGGGAATCATTGGCGTTTTATGGTGGTGTATGAACGAATCTTGGATTGCGAAAGTAGATTGAAATGTCTGAGAAGTTTTGTAAGTTCATCATCTGCATAAATAGATTAACCGTTGAGAGGAGTCAACACCTTTAATATTTGTCAAGCGTCTTTATTATTAGATATTGAACGCCCGAAACCAGTTCTACTTACAGAAATCATTGAACACTCTGATAATACCCCGAAAGCATTGTTAGAAGGCCGTGCTAGATTTACCAAACTAATAAACGCCAGACCTGAAATCTTCAATGTCAATCCTAATGTCTTACCCAACCGGAAAATATCATTTCTATAAACTGCGCTGAAACAAAACGTCCTCCTCTCGAATTTCTCTATTCAACCTAATGTATCCATCCTACCTATTCATTCCCATACAACCATTAATATTCATCGCTAATCAACACTCACTTAGGAGAACTCAGATCTTGCAAGCTAGATCCACTCAGAGGAAGATGCGACTTTTCTCTCTGTTGCCTCCATCCGACATTCGTCAAGAATTTCGCAGGATGATATAGATTGAAGAGAACCAAAACCGGAAGCATCAATGCTGCCTCAAAGACATAGAAATTCCATTCGTGAACTGAGAGATATCCATCGAAGCCGGTTGTGAATTCTACCATTCTGTATATCGAACGAGCCTGGGTATATGTTAGCACTCAGACTCTGTGGCACTCAGGGTAACAAGGGAAAAACATGGGGGGAACATACAAAGATTAGCCCACTAGCAATGTTGATCGCCATCAACAATTTCTTCCACTGTCTATCCGGCCATGAACTTTCAAATTTCTTCGAGATGAAATGGAATCTTAGAGAAACGACCAAGAAAAATCCAAAGCATACTAATTGGATAACCAGACCAACTTTCATGACATTATAACCCCGTTGAACAACCTTTGAATCTTTGGAGGTGGCGGAGGTGGCGCCGAATACTTGGATTAGAAAGGCGACGATGTCGCAAGTTACGAAGATGGGTGTCATCCAGCGGGGTGGTACCCAGAGGTTCTTGACGGTTCGAGAGGAGGAGGGAGTAACGTGAAAGATGACCCGACCCTGGGGTGAAGTTAGATTGATGTTATGGAAGATAGTAAGATGGGTAAGATGGAGAGAGACAGGGACGCACCATTGCCATATAGCAAGACGCAGCCATAAGCGCAGGCGCGAGGAAAATGAGAACAAATTGGACAATGTATGCGTCTGATTCGTTAGCATCTGAAATATCTATGCCGTGCTTCTTTACTCACTTCTGTTAGTTGTGTCATATACCGAGACCACTCGACCTATGTACCCGACAGACTCCACTGTTAGGTATTAGTATTATACTTCTAATCTTTTGTCTAGGATGTAGTAAGACTTACTAGCTGCCGCTAGCACCATGAATAACCAGAACCAACTTTTGAGCCATATGTACTGGAAAAGGGTGTATATAAAACTGCCTGTGTATAGTATGGCAAAAGCAATCGCGGCCCCCTTCGATGGGTCGTAGTCGTAATAACTAACATCTGTGAGATGGGCGTGAGTTCTTGAAGACCTGTCTTGCTGTGGAGAAACCTACCTTTGCTAGACATCTTTACACAGAATGTTTCTAAGTGCTAGAGACAGAACAGGAAAGGTTGTAGTTCTTTTTTGATATGTAGTGATCTGAAGAGTTCTGGATATTCAAATTGAGATTCGATATTGAAGGTCCACAGTATAAAAAATGCCTAACAGTAACGAGCGATTAAAGCAAAGATTGAAGAAACAAGAACGATAAAATAAACTATTATGGAGAACCTGATAAATAATGATAGAGAAGGGAATGGAGGATAAGATATTCATTTTCCAGATACCTATCTTAAATCAAAGCTCGGATCCATGCAGGAGAACATGTCAATATGCATATATCAACAGCATACCTCGTGTTAACCGAGCTACCATTCCATTCTGACACAGCCCACTCCCCATCCCATGTGTTGACGCGTCCGAACTTCCTGGTTACCCTTTTCGGACCCATGTGTGATGAATTTCGTATCTAGCGAGATCCGATAGGTCAATGCACATTCGCGAAAAGACTTCGGGAAACCATCATTTGTTGCGCGTCCAGTCACCTTCTAGAATTCGATAGGCAGATGCCAGAAAAAGCGTCTCGATTCATGGGATTGTGTAAGCAGTGTGAGGACCCGTAAGGCTGACACATGGAATGAGACAATGAGACTCCGCCCCCTTTGGTAATTTTGTTTCCCTCGCTTACACGAGAGATGTGGGCTGAGAAGCCCTTGCCAGACGGACATCGGGAGCGGACCATGAGTGTCTCCCACACCCGCCTTTGTGTATCTCCGTCCCGGTACCGAAAACTACGGTTCATGATTGGTTGTGGAACGGCACTGCAGAGAATTTTTTTAGGCTATGCTTAAAGGGGTTGATGAATCTGGACCCACAAACCAATGACAGGGTCCGTACGAACCAATAGCAGCTAATTGGGAAGAAATATTGTGATGTGGGAATATTTTTTTGGCATCTCATTCGGGTCGAGAAAGAAAGGGAGATTCCATAAAAGTCTGAGAAAACCAGGTTGTAGAAGTCAATGATGCCTTTCTAGGAATCTGCCCTTGGTTGACAATGTATATAGGGTGTATGAATTCCTTGCTAGATATGCACAACGCACTTCGTAGCAAATAGTCAAATAGAATGGGACAATTTCTTTGAACTGTTAGCACTAGTACTCATCTCGAGATATTGAAATAATCGATGAGCAAAGCCGTTTAAGTTTAACCAAGCCAGAGCAGAGCCGAGTTTAAATATCATCAGTAATTTGATGTTTGAGAGTGAATATAGATATCTTGACGGGACCAATAAAATACTTATCTCAGCAGTGATCCCGAGATTACATGTACAAGAGCGAGTATGGGGTCTGGGTTAAGACGCAGGTCTTGATTCAGCCAATAGAAAGCCTATCCGATTCGTATAAGACATGCAACAAAAGGAACTGGCATACGGAAGGGTGAATCTGGGTGTCAAGGGCGGGCCAATGCATGTCCAGTACTGTAAAGCGTATCCGAAGTCACAAATCTCGAGTACTGACTGCGTCTTGTTTGAATGGAATCAAAATAAATGATACACGAGCGTCAGTCTGAATGGAATATCTGAAACCGATCGTACAGCTCCTATTTAGAAATTCGGTGAATGATGTGTGCAAAGTTTGTACATAAGAAGTGCTCGGTCTTTTCTTTCCAAACAAACAATTCATAACCTACACCTTACTACAAGTATTTTCGCAAAGAAGAAATACATACAAGCACCGCATCAAAACAACTTGCATCTCCAATACAACATGGCGCTCTGGTATTGCTCCAGTTGCAACGCTATCCTGCTTACCGGCGACGAAATACCGATGTGCAACACATGCAATATCCCAATGACCAGTAAGCCGGCCGACTATTACTCTGAGATCCTGGGAGGAAGAGAATTATGGTTGAGCGGAACGGGCGTATTTAGGGGAAATAGCAACGAAAAAAGGTTGTTCGATATTCAATTCTAGAAGTTTCTTAATAATACCTAGTTAGTGCAATACAACACTCTATTCTGGTCTCAAGAGTCAATGATACCTTGTTGCATCGTTGGATTCAGTTTCATTACATCGAAGTGAATGAATGTTGTTTGCGAGACGGTTAACAGTGCACTTTAAAATATGTAATGTCCATCCGCCAATCTCTCACAAATCAAACAATATCCATTATTTCCGCTTCATATAAATCATTAAGATGACGACTAGGTATCTATCGCAGATCTTATTTCGGAGAGATTCGCTAATCTATAACACCAAGCTATGCCCGCTAATAAAGCAATTGAGATTATGAACATTTGCCGCAAATATGATACACGGCTTAGCTACCATCTACGCGTATGCAGCCCAACCTATAGATATTGATCAGCGTTCGCTCTGAATAGATAATAGGTAATATCGGCATATTAAACGAAGATATAGGAGAGATGGGGGGGGGGGGCATACCTGAATACAAAACTGCCAAATTCTTCTCATCCCTCGCTTGATTGATCAAATCATTGACTGTGGCCTCTACACTTAACGTCTTTGACAATTTCTTGTTGACCACGGTCAGAGCTTTATCAGCTTCACTCGGTTGATTGACAATTAACCTCTCACCACCTCTCTGGTGTCCCATACCGGGTTCCGGCGCAACACTCTGCGCCACCTGCAATTTTGCAAGTCGCACGGGTGATATAGACCAGCTGTACAATGGATCATATCGCAGAACGTCAAGAATAGTCATGATACTATAAACTTCCTTACGCAAAGCGGAAAGAGTGAATTCGCAGCAGCGTCTGAATACACCTTCGGTTTCTGTTATGCCCATCCCATCGACAATATCGCGAGTGAGACGGAAAGGGACCAATTCTGGGACCGGAAGAACCCGACCCATTTCAAAAGCCACACCAAGGTCAATATGTACTACCTCACCGCTCTCAAAATCAAGAAGAATGTTGTGACCATGCCTGTCGCCCAATCCGAGAACGTGTCCTAGAATCGATATAGCAGCTGTGCTACGAGTGTATGCTAGACGCTTGGTGAACCATTCGTCGGGATCGTTGAAATACTCTGTAAAGAAGTAATGCATAACGGGACGAAAACGGTCGATGACCCATCTATATTTCTTGATTCGTACTTCAGTTGGTTGACCTTGAACTTCCCCAATCTCTTTACGACATGCATTCCCTTTCAGATCTTTTGGATTGAAGCGCTCATGTGCTGGCATGAGATATTCATGCAAGGGAATTGTGTTGGGCACAAATTCAATGACTCCAGCTATGGAGGTCAATGGTAGGACTTTGTAGGTTCTGATGCTTAGGTTTCTCTGCCGAGTAGCTCTGTTTGTTTTCAAGAGTTCACTAACTTGAGCAAATACCTGTTCCATGATGGCATCTTGGCGCAGATCATCGTTGCCACCTTTTACCTAATTTACGTTAGCTATAATAGTGACTCATGTTGGATACTTACCAATTGTTTAAATCGCGCTCCATTATCCGCCACAGCAGTGATGATTTTCGGTGCACTTACTCCTGATGCTATACTCATCTGCGACTCGAATCTGACCATTTTTGGCACCTTGGAATAATCTTTATCTGCGCGAAGATTTATTTGTATTGTCGGAGGAGGTATTGGGTACTTCTTTAGAATGTTGTTGAGTCTCAGACCCCAGGGGGAATCTTTAATCGAGAGCTTTTTGCCTGTTTTGTACTTCTGATCATCTTTCTCGCCCGCAAGCTGAGTATATGGCTGGATAACATAATTCAACGCAGTCCAAATTGCCCGCGAACTCTCAGCTCTTTGTAGTTGCTCTGAAACCTTGAGGGTTGCCTTATTTCTCGAGATAGCTACTTCATCCTTGGTATTTGGCCGACTGTGGGACCCAGCATATATTTGGTACATGCCGTGGTATGGATGATCCATACAGATCCGTAGAACTAGACCAAAGAGATGCTGCTGAAATTTTGAGTCGTTTTCAAGCAACCGAGAACTGAGCTGGTTCATGAGCGTAGCAAATTTTCGACTAGGCACCTTGGGCAAAACTTTGGCTACAGCTTCATTTGCAAAGTTCTCTGCAGAGTTTTCAAGCCATAGAGCGGTGACTCTTAGCGCATTACTATCATGATTGTCCGAAGCAGCTAATGAGAGAAGGTAATTTTCCAGACATTGGCGTAGAAATTCGTCCCTGTTGGAGCAATGGCGGCGATATTCTCGCTCGTCTAGTCCGAGCCAAGTTTTGGCTTTCTTGAGATAACTTTGATGTCTTTGTCTCTCTGATGAAGATGTTGCATTCCTCAAAAGTTCCTCGTAGTCAGCGACATCATTAGATCTCATCTCGCTTAACTTCTTCATTCGCTCCAAATCTTCCAAACTATCAGGGTCCTGCAGTTGTTGATCACAAAACACGGCAAATTGATGGAAAACTTTCGCAGCTTCATAGCCATCGGAACCTTTCAAATCCTTAAGGGCAGGTTTTAGGTATCTCTCAATGATTCGATCAGGCTTCTCAAGTCTAGCTTCGGAAACTTGGTGACCAATCTTTGATAAGAGATCAGGACGACCAACAGATATAGTCTGCGCTTTTAGGAAGGATGCATTGTCCAAAGTTCGTAATATACCTATCGAGGACGTCATTTCGCCTTGCTCCCACAAGGCATTTGCGGTCTCCATATGAACAGCAGCTTCAATTTTTAAACCAAGAGACTGGCACGGTTTGATAAGATCAATCAAAGAAGTTGTCAGAGATAAAGATTCTTGTAAGGCGCCGTGGTCACGATTTAGTGATGAAGCCATGAGGGCAACATGTACCTCGACTAGTCTGGTATCTTTGGAGGAGAGATTGAGTATGTCTCGAAGACGCGGTTGCTGGCTTAGGGTGCTTAAAGTTGTCCCTCGACAAGAAATCAACTGACTAATGTCATCAAACCTATCTTCGTATTAGCTATGATTTCGGTAAATTGTATAGGGATTTTTTACCTCCCCGTCTTCATCCATTCGGAACGATTTCGAAACCTTGACAGAATCTCTTCAAACTCTTCAGATCCCCGAGAGCTAAGTACTTCATCCATTTCGGAAAGAGCCGCTAGGGTTCTAAGAGATTCGTGAAGAGCACTGGCGCTGAGATCATCTCGCACGAGTCGTTCCATTGTTCCCTCAAGTCCTTCGTTGATTACTTTCATGAAAGATCCACGGGTTGTGGCAACATGAGCTGATTGGAAAGCTTTATAGAGAGTGACTGAGTGATTATCGCTGGTAGGAACAGGGATATCCCATTGTTCTAGTTTACGTGCGGTGCGAAACATAGAATCTAAAGATGTGCCAGCTATTCCAGAACCCTGTTGTGCTTGTAGCAGAGAGTGAGAAAGTCCACTAAGGCTAAGCATGTCCAACGCACTAACAAGAGATTGCGCATCCTGGGCAGCTCTGGGGTCTCGCTGCTTAACGTGGCTGTCATATTGTGCACCTCTGAAAGCAAGACTTTTAGGCCCATCTTTCTCATATTCCAGTCTTGCTAATATGGTGCTTAAACTGGCTGTTTGCTGCACCCCGTAATATAGATCTGGATCGTCAATGTTCTCAAAAATTGAGAGAAGCAAGTCTGTGGGTATCTCGGGGGTCTCACCGCCATCTTTGGTCGTTGAAGACCGTCTAGACGATTTTACTGGGATCAAATGGTGTTCTTCAACGAATATCAAAGCCGTTTTGAACATTCCACAATGTATGGCGGCTGTGGCGACTTTGAGGTAGTCAAGATCCAGCCAATGCAGACGATCCGCCGAAGACTTCTCGTGAGGCAGAGGTTGCGTCCGTAAATACAGAATCGAATTAATTATAGCCTTTAGATTGTTCCTTTCGACGGATTTTCCTCTGGAGAACCACACCGCAAATGCATTAGAAATTTGATTACGGTTATTCTTTTGTGCAGGCGAATCGGTAGAGAGCACGAGGTGAAGGATGAACGGGAATGCTTGATTAGCAAAGTCTGGCACGTTCCGAAGAACTGGTGCTAAGGCGCACAGTATGGGATCTTTAGGGACAGCTCTGACCAATGCAATAGAGAGATCTCTTAACCAATCAGGAGAAAGAATGCAATCTGCCTCGAGATGTTTCCTTAAGCTATCCTTGTCATCTGTAGGTCCTGCCATCTCACATGGAGGAACAGGATAAGGATTCCACGCTGACGCGTCAAAAACTGGGGACGATAGAATTTGACGGCCAATCTCCAAAATCTGCGCGTCTGAAGTTGTAAAAATGATACGCAAAGCCGTTTCGACAATTCCCACCGTCGAGCCATTATCCCCCAAGACCAACGATTGTAAAAGACTCAATATACATGCTCTTGAATAAGAACTGACTTTGGATGATATTTTCAGTTCCTTAATTTTTGACAAAGTGGATTCCTGCAAAAGCTCCTGGTGCACATGCCCAGTAGCCGCAAAGGCTCTTCCAAGAACCCGCGCAGCCCAAGACATATATTGTTTGTTGGAAGAATTCCCTCTGCAGGACTTCCATACAACAGCAGCCATTCCTTCAGCAGCTGCATCCTCACCGTATATATCATTCCGGTAGGAGGCAGGGCATTCAAACTCGGAGCATAGCATACTGAGCGCGAGCTTCCGAGCGGGCAGAGTTAGTAACGCGCCGCCATTTTTTTCGTCCTCTAGTAGCCGGTCCAGCAGTGTACTCTCTATTGTTCCCCTTTCAGCATTTCCAATTGCTCGAACCTCCTGGGCAGAGGCAACGAGAGCTTTGAAACTCGAACTCAGAGACCCCGCTAGAACAGGAGATTCATAACGTGAGGCATGCTTCCCAACCCAGAGGTGAAATTTCTGGGCTTTGGACATTGTCGCTTGGTGTTGACTTTCCTGGGTGGTGCTAGACCTACGCTCCTGCATGAATACGTGCAGAGATCCGAGTATCGAAAGGGTAATGCTTGCAACAAAAGATGGGTAGAGCTTTAGATGCTCAGAACCATGACTCAGCAGATATTGCAGAATGCCAATAGCATCATCAGCACATTCAGGATCCTTGAGAAAGGGCCTTATGGATCTTAGAAGCATTTCCAGAGGATAACCTTCGGTTACAGCGCTTCCGGCAAGTGAGATAAGAACACGAAGCTTTCGCAACACCGAGCAAGCATGCAGCGAACCAAGTGCAGGGTGAATAGTCTTCAGCAGTCTTCTAGCAATGAAAGCTACTAAGCTTGGGGTGTATAGATCACCTGCCTTATGCACTGTTCTCTTACACAAGAGTTTGATTTCGTGAAAGAGGTACTTTGCCTTGAATGCAGGTTGCTGATTGGGAGGCAAGATCATCTCAGACGAGCTCAGAGATTTGATCTCTCCCATGATTTTTGCGGCATATCCTAAGCTCTCCTCTTTGGCAAATGACTTTTCCACGTGTTGCTCTTGATCTATAACATTAAACAGGGTTGCAAGTATATCTGTGAAATGCAAATTGACGCATTCCAAGTACAATTCCTCACCGAGGCATGTTTTCAGCCGATGCTCACCTTTATGTTTCTTGCCACTCGAAGGTGATATGCTTATCTCGTTAGCAATACAGTATGCCGTGATTTTGGCAAAACATTTCTCAAGCAGTTTGACAACAGGAATCTTCAACAATTCAGCGAGGTGTTCTAGTTGAGCATCATCACCCCGCATCATTATCAAAGCGGACACCTCTTCCTGAACGGATGCCAATAAGTTGCCGAGAGTGTCGAAGCCAAAGATTTGGTATGGTATGCCCTCTATCGCCTCTGCCTCGAGCCAAGTATAGAGTATTTGAGGCGCAAACAATGCGAAAAGCTCCTGCGGACAGTCTACTGCGAGCGCAGAAGCAACATCGAACAAGCACCGAGTAGCATGTCGAATAGTGCCCGGAATCCTACCCGGAATTTCGAAAATATGATAAATGCATCTTCGCAGAAGAGTTGACCAACGGGAAGCTAGTTTTGCCAGGACGTAAAGTCGAAACGCGATCCCTTCCCACAATTCTGGTGCAGAAGGTAAAAGTGCAAGCACATCTACAAAGATTTTGTCATGCTCCTTCAGCGTAAAAAGTTCGAATATTGTCGAAATCTGATCGCCAATGAAGAATTTAGTAGCAGTATTGCCTTTCTCTAGGAGCTCCAGTAGACTTGTACGCGGTGAGGGCTGAGAAGGGGCATTTCCATAGTTCTGATTTACTCGCAACAGTTGTAATAGCAGATTAACAATGCCTAGCTGCACGATTGTGGAATCGGCGTTTCGCCGGATCCGCATTATAAACCAATCATACAATTGCTTAGCGTGATTCACAAAAGAATTCTGCTCTTCCATTGACCAAAAAGGCAAAAGTCCTATCATTACGTCCAAGCATGCGCACATGGCAACTTCGCTGGCAAGGAAATCATCTGATGAAAGAATCTGTCCCACGCGCTCGAATATGCGATATGCATCTATCTCATTCAGAATGAGATCTGACTCAAGCATACTGCGCATGAGTGGACGACATGAGAGTAGTTCTTCATGCTTCATAGAGACCAGCTCTTCAATAAAAGAATTTGATACTACACAGCTTTCAGAGGACTCGTTCAGGTCGGCGGTCAACATCAGTCGGCCTATTGTATCTATATAAAAAGACGAAGAACTCATTTCCAGCGCCATAGCTCGCCTAGGGATGTTCAATCTCTGTGCTTCCGTTGACAAGTTACTTCTCTGGCTAGAAATTTCATCGTCGATATCCATGGGATCATCATCACGCTCTGGAATTGACTCTTCAGCTAAACGGCGACTTTTGATATATCCCGAGATAAGGGACAGGAACTGCAGCAGTTGAGAATTGTGTTCTGCGAAATGCTTGAATTGAGCAGTGTCACAAGGAGGTAGATGGGGTTGGATTGTTTGCAAGATAGTATGGACAAACTCTTTGGTGGCGGAAAAGTCTTTAGCATCTGAGCGTCTGAGGTATTCCAATAACTCATCGCTCAAATCCCGCAGGTCATCCCTTAGAAGGGATAATTGCTCTAAATTAGCGTTGGCAAAATGTGGTAGTAAATGGAGACTCGTGATGCATGTATTTAGTGAGCCTCGATACATATCAGTTGAAACCTGCGATCGTTCCGTATTGAAGCCTCTCCAAGATAGTAGAAGCTCGCTACACTTTGATGACAAGAACTCGAGTATCATTCTTTGGGTAGAACCAAAGTGAGCACTATCCAATCGAAAGATAACATCATCATCAGCCGTAGACTTCGGACAGTGTTGGCAGGTAAAATCTGCATCGACAGGTTCGTCGGCATCAAGTAGTAGGAGATAACGAAGAACCTTTTCATTATCTAAGTGTTGTTGCCATGCTTGAAACAGCGCGCCTCCTATTTGGCGACTATTTGACTTATCAGACAGTCCCGGTAGGCCAAGGCTTGTTCTTATCAATGCAATGATGCTAAAAGGGTGCAAATGTTTCCCGTATTGAACAATAAATAATCTGTCAGCTTAATATGTGTCAGCTCTGATCCCATGAAACACAGCAGACTTCGTACCTGGATTCCATCTTCCGAAAAGCCAACGGATCACATGCTGGTAGGCAGCCAGGCTCGTGCCAGGAGCTTCATGAACCTTAACTTGCAACAAGTGATTAATCAGAAAAATCGACGAGTCACAAAGGACTGGCGGGCCACTGATATCAGCCGTGGTGATGATGGCGTTTACACTGTCTTCAATATCACGATAATCTAAGAGGCATTTGGCATGAATTGTATGGAGTGCTAGAGCAGCAGCACGACAGGTTCCCGCAAAAGTGAGCGCTTTAGCTCCATTATACCAGTGCTGTTTCCAGTCTATTGATGATCCGTCTGCAGCACGTACTTGATAAGTACAACTGTGATTTTGTGGTCAGTCAAAATAAGTCTAAGGATAACATGGCACTGACTGACCTTGCTATACCAAGTAATGCCCATGATGCAATGTTACCACGCTTGTCCAAAGCAAAATTGCTCAATTGATCCAGTAATTCTTCTAGAGAAGAGGCTGAGAGTTTGCAGCTTTGTAGTACGAATGGGATCAATTGCAAACCGGCCAATAGTACTTTCTGATCGCCGGATTTGAGGGGGTCAAGTAGTCTTTCAGACGACTGTGAGATACGTTGACGCTTTCGTGGATGGTTATCTAAGTCAACTCCTGATTTGGGTTTCACTTGAAGCACGTGCTCTTTGACTCTCACCAATCGTTCTAGGACGGCCAGAGCGAGTAGGTTTGCCCAATTACGCTCGGCCGCGCGATTATTGTGAGATTTCAGTCGGAAGCAATGTAGACGAAAAGGATCGCAGTTTATCTTCCGAGTATTCAAATTTAGAATCTCCACATCGTCCAATTGAAGCTGATCATTGTCTGTTCGCCGAAAGTAATCTGCTCTCAAGGCGTCAAGTAAATCATTCAAATCACTATGCAGCTCGACATCCTCATCGCTTATGATATTGCTCTCCAGGTGTAGATGAGTGTAGTACAAACTAATCAGCATTTCATCTCGGACAGAGTTAACCATTTCGTCTTTGTGCAGTGCTTTAACTTGCCAAAATCGACATATCAAAGGAAGCAACTCTCGGCCAATTGAAAACGAAAATGAGGTGTGATCTTCACCGAAACATGATAAAACGATATTAAGGACTGAAAATGCTACTTGATGTAGCTTGCTTACACTCGAAATATGGTACTGCAGCAAGCGCATGATTACGGCGGCCACTCTCTCAACAATTGGAAATGAAGGATTATTGGTAGAATAGAGAAGCGAGAAGAGGATTTGGCAAAGTTCTTCTACGTTGTGCTGAGATACTGAACTTTGTACCCTTGGTATACTTCCAAGCCCAGAGGAAGACCTAGGCAGTGATGGGTGACCAGCCCCATTGCCAGACTGTGATAGATCTTCACCAGTATCTCCGAGGTACAATTCGATACCCATAATGGAGAGGTCGATGATTTCGACCCGAAGATTCTTGAGGCTTGCTACAATTGCTGGTTGCCCGAGCAAACAGCCCAGTGCTTTGAGATAGTCACTTAATATTGGCTGACAGAAATCCTTATTTGATATCGGGATCGTATCAAGAATATGCTCAATCAGAGCGTTGACAGTCGTTTTCTCGAACCTGTGTACTCCAGTAGTCACGATGTAATTTATGGCCTTAGCACATAGTTCTAGCCTAGTGGCCGATACTTTCACTGTTGGCCTTTTCGACTTGCCTAAATACTTTCGTTTCTCCTCAATGACAATTTCGAATAAGATCTCGAACAATTTGTCGTATGTCTTGTTTTGAAGTTGTCCATTGATGTGCTGGCCGCTGATGTCTAAGTTAGCTCAAAGCCTTCGATACCAAACGAATGTCCGACTTACATATTAGCAGCCTTGTGGGGATAAAACATATCATTGAGATCTATATCCCGCTGTCAACATCTGTGAATCTGCCGAGTAAATTCATGGCTTGGATCGAATGGATTTACCTTTCAAAGACTTCGTGAAATCTCCCTTTCTACTCTCCAGGGTCCCTGAGTTTTATTTAACTTTTGTGTCGATGACTGCCAATCGAGAATCATAATTACCCATAACCTGCCGTAGAGTTATATCTGCAGACATGTTGAGATGAATTGCGACGACACAGGGTTCGACGCATTCCTAGCTTGAAGCTCTCACAACAGTTGTGGATATGGAATATGACGAGCTCGGTGATGTACACCTAGTAGTAATTTGAGAGGAGCTCCAAACACATTGAGGGTTTAGTAAAGATCAATTCAAAAGTAGTGTTTATAAATTGAGCAGCATCACAATTTTGAGAGTCGCAGAAAGTAGACAACACCATGGAACTAGGACATCTTGAAATCTCATCAGTAATTTGTTGAACGACTTTATTTTTTTGGTGGTTGGCCTTGGTTACAGTGCAAGTTTTGACCTTTCGCGACGCGATTTTTCGTGTGCAGGGACCTATTGTACAGCTTCAAAATTAACATCGCTTGTTTGTTCTATCAAATAATTTTCTATGTGACAACAAGTAGCCCCAATTACTGCTTACAGCATCTGCGACAACGAAACAATTACAACTTGCCATGAAAGGGATACAAATTTACCTCTTTGAACTTTTATGAGTTCTATGCCAGATCGATTCCCTGTGTTCCACGCCTCGGCGCAACCTTCTTAACCATGGCGGAGCAACCCAGTAGTAGCTTGAATGAAATCCAGGCCTTGCATTCAGACCTTCTTGCACTATCAAACTCCCGCCTTTCGAACCTTGACCGATTAGCTATTGAACTCGAAGCTCACATTACAGCTTTTCGTAACCTCCTGAACCAGAAGAATCGAAATGAGCAAAGTCGGCAGACTATCACAAAGGGTATGTAATTTTCTATACCCATGAACAACCCTATAAAAGATCCAAAACCAATATAACGATAACAGAAATCTTGGAGCGAGATGGGCAGAAATACAAGATGAACGAGGACTTCCAACAGGGAACATTTCAACTAGCAGATGAATTGAACCTTGATGAAATTGAAGCTTCCCAAATCTTTTTCGACGCACAAGACGATGCCGATGCGACAGGCCGTTCAGTTTTGTCCTGCTCTATAATACGCTTTCATCAGCGACGAAAGCTTCTGTTGGACTGCTTGCGTCTTACGCTTCAACAAGTTGCCGAGTTGGAAGGCAATTCGGAACAGGAGCAAGAACTGAAGATATTCCTGGAACATATCATCAAAGAAACGATCACTCCAACTACCGCCACTACTATAAACACAACGAGAAATGTGCCGACATTCATTTCAAAGTGTATTTCTGCCATGGGTGATATCAGACAGTGGCTTCAAAAGATTTCGGACAAAGTTAGTAGTGCGTCTGTATTAGGGCAGCCATCACATCCAGAGCTTTTGGAAATCATGGAGTATCAGCGACACAGTCTTATCAAACAACATGAGTTACTAGGCGTCATTATACTCTACTTGGTGAAAGCAGATCGTTCTAGCGTGGAAGATTTTGAGCTACTACTTGGAGTTTTGAAGAAAGCAGATAAGTATGATAATATTTTGGGTAAGCATTATTCAATTTTGGAATCAGGATCAGAGCTGCTACACTATGTCTTCTGTTTTACAGCGGTACAATTCCAACTAACAGATGATTACAGTGCATCATTTTCCAGCTCTGGCTGCTTATATTTGGCGCTTTGGTTCTCCGGAAGGTGGATCAACGATACAAGATGCAAGAGCGCTGGACAAGAAGATCAACGTTAAAAACGACCAGAATGCATGGGTTTTGCCTTATGCTCATGCCGCATTTCGAGCATGGTGGTTGGCGGAATATAGTGGGTGGTATGTGGAACACCATGATGGATTACCACATGGCATTAATCTCGAAGAAGGTTAGTCAGATGTATATACTCCTCGCTCCTCCCACTAATCTAATAAAAACATCAGAGGCCAAACAGCGATCTCAACAGTTCAACGAGGCTTTGAAAGATGGAGCATTCGATTTCTTATTGTCTCTTTCTGCTGATGTCAAAGCTGCAAGCTGGACAGAACCGTCACGTCAAGGATTTCGATTGTGGCTACAGAGAAAAGCTCCTCAGCTTTTGTCTGATTCGGTCTCTTTCTCCGATTTCTTTGAAGACCAATTTATGGAGCAACTACAGACGTTTATTGAAAGTTTCATAACGAACTTGCCAGATGTGTTGAGGAAGTTGAGGATAGATGAGGATGAGCAACGTCAACTCAGTCATGAGCATGAGCACGATCTGGATCTAGAGAGATTTATTATTGTCATCTCTTATGCCTTTGATGGACGCCCAAAAGCTGCTTTGGATGGATTTTGGGATGTTCCAGATGGTGTGTTAATCGGTTTCATGTACTGGGCTTCGCGGCGTGCTTCAACTCCGCTGGTCTCGGCATTTTGTGAAATGCTCCAGGCTATTTCGGGTGATGATGAGTGTGCAACTGCTGCGCACGAATTTCTGCTCGACGAAAGCCCTCAAGCCGGAAAAATGAAACGGGCTCATGCACTCACGTGGAATCAAATATTCAAAGAACTAACGTTCTTCACCAATAAACTTCGAGATCAACCAGTACCACAGGCTCAGGCTTATCGCCATGGAAAGCCAAATCACGACCAAGCAGAATTAGAGCCAGAATCTTATATCATGCTAGAGTCTTATCTCCGCCTCATATCTCAACTCTGTTCGCATAGTGCAGTCGCCAGGCAATTTCTGATGCAACATCCATCGTATCAGCTCACAGACCTGCTTTTCCAACTTGCATCCAGTTCGATACCATCGCGATTCAGAGCCGGTGCTTTCACAGCACTACGTTCTTTGCTAAGTAACAAAACAAAAGCGGCAGCCGAGTACTTGTGGACAGCTCTTGACATCTGGGTCTCTGGGGGATACGTGCACAATCCCAGCGCCCAGAGAAATACAGCTCCTCCGTCCTACGCACCTGACGCAATTCTGCGCAAGTTTGGCACAGGGTTCGAAGAACCAGATGCATTCATCCTACTTCTCCATGCTCTCGTACTACCTTACGAAGAAGATAGTGCCCTACGGGATGGCTTACCATTCCCCGAACTTCTCGGAACTTCCAATCGCATGCCTGGAATAGATCCGTATGTCGATTTCGCCGTTGGCCAAGTGTTTGGATCAAAAATGAGTGAGATAATGGATCCCATACAGCTGCGACTACTGCAATTGACTTGTCTTACTTTCATCACAACTTGCTTGGAGACTTTCAATGAAGATCTCGTGATATTTGCAAATCGTTCCAACATCTCAGTTGACACAGCTATAAAAACTTCCGACCTACAAACTTACGTTTTATTACATCCATTTTCTAGGGTGATGGAATGGATGTATAACTCCAGCGTAATGGATGCGATATTTGCTGCAATTCACCAAGACGTTAACGAAGTTGCCAGTGCGGCTCCTGATTCACCATCAATCATGTGTCTCCTCCAAGGGATACGTGCAGTCACCTTAATTATGGATCTGCAACCAACTTACCGAGATATCGTTCGACCTCTAATTAAGCATCAGGCTAGCCATCGCCGCTCCCCAGTTCCAAACACCGCGTACGCATCCTTTGAAGACGGAGTACTCAACCACTTAAGCATCATTCCTGATTTGGGCTTATACTGTAGCTCCGGCAATCCCGAATTAGTAATAGCATCTCTGAAACTGCTCGAGAAGCTTTCTGCCTCGCCACGACTTGCCCCTGCTCCTAAAACAGGTAGCAGAAGGATTGACCGTAACAAAGCAATTGCTGCTCTAGAGGAAAATAATGCAGCGGAGGCTATCTCACGCGCACTTCTGCAAGAGACAGAAGCAAATATTGACGAGACCCAAGGTCAAACGTCTGATTCATATATTATCAAAGTCCAAATACTAGATTTCCTTATCGCCTGTCTCGAAGCCTGTCCAGGCCAGACTACAATAGCTCATTTACTTCTCGGTTTCCAGTGCAGAGATGATCATTTAGAAGTCGATATGGATTCGCTTTTCAGCCGTCGTATTTCGCTATTCCATTCGATATTAAGGTTGGCTAATGATATATCTCTCGAGGATGAGGGAAACATCTCTTCATGGCTTGTCTCCCTAAGATATAAATGCCTGCGACTACTTAAACATCTTTGGCATTCGCCCATTTCATCGAGCCTTGTTATGATAGAGATGCGGGCCAATAATTCATTTTTTGAAATGTTTATCAGACAAACTTTGATTACGCCAGGGTTACTGTGGGATGGCCGGGACCTCGCAGATCCCGAATTTTTGGACGCAACTTCTGCCTCCTGCCTCTCAAACTTTTTAAATCAACGCGCCAACGTCTTGCAATACACATCTGCCGAATTACGCCAGATAGCCCTCAGTCATCTGCCTTCTTTGAAGGAGCGAATGTTTAACACACTACTTGGGTCAACAATAGTGGAAGAAGGCCAACAGGTTGATAACTGTTCCGTTTTTGATCTGTTCGACTTCATGGATATACCTTTGAACCAATCGATCGCTCTTGGTTCGTTATCCTGGTTCAAAGATATTGACGTCAGCGCCTGTGAGGAGGTCCATACTGATTGCCCTCCATTATTCAACATGATGAAACTTGAAGAGCTTCTCACTTTACGAAGATCTGAGCTCGCCGCTCTGAAGAGACTTGAAAATCCTCAAGACGTAGTTGCATTCAATAACGAAGCCCAAATGATGTTCAACTACTATTTCATCGATAACAAATTAAAGGAACTAAGAGCAGCACGGCACAAGGCGCTGCAATCTTGGGTCCAATTATTACTCGTGATGGTAGAGACCATGTCTTATGACGAACCGACCAAGATAGTCTTTGTGTTGCAGACTTTGCAAATAATTCTACCTAGGTTAGAAAACTGCCTAGAAAATGCAGCTGATGCGTTGGAGCTAGCTAAACTCACCAAGGCACTCTTGTTCAGCTTGAATCTAGATTCCAACACTTTCAAGGAAGGTGACTTGGGACAAAATCTAAGCGATAAGCTCTTTCATGTGTTCGAATTGTCGCTTAGAGCTATAAACGCCGTTGGGGCTAACGGTTCCTTAAAAGAAATTTTCTACAGTATCAGCTATCGCTATCTTACAGGAA